GATGAATCAATAAAATGTTCAATTCGAATTGGCTAGCAGGTTTTAGTACAGTTTACGATTTGCGAGTGGACATTGAAATGCGGTTAAGACTACTAGCAAAATATCACGGAACTTTGCGCGAAAGTCAAGTTTCATAAACCTATCTCTAATGGACAAGGCCTTCCATTCATAAGAAATGAACGAAAAAATTATGAAAGAACAAACACAAAATTTGGTTTAATGATTTTAACTTCCGCCGCCGAGCCACGTCGATCGCACCTAGTTTGGCGCAATGGGTGAAGTATTCAGACAGTCTTGTAGGCGCTATGCGTTTCACGCTGACCGCACTGTGTTTGGTGCAATGCGTGAAGTATTTATGCATTCTTGTAGGCGCTATCTGTTTCACGCTGACCACAAAAACCGCACTGTGTTTGATGCAATGCGTGAAGTATTCGTGCAGTCTTGTAGGCGCCAATATGTGTTACATGCCGATTACCGCGCCGAGGGCTTCTCCTTTTCATTTCAAATCCTTGTCATCATTTCTCCCTAAGTCACGCCCTTCCAGGCCAAATTGTGTGTTTGGTTTCTCTCTTAACTCGACTAATTAAAGTGCTGTCTCTTGTATCACTGAAAAACGACAAAATTAGAAATTACTTTACACACAGGAAATGAGAGATTTTGCAGCCCTTTCTCGTTTGTGATTTTTTTTTTCTAAATCCGATTTTTTTTTATACCTACATTTAAAAAAATTGCAAAATTTGCCGCCCCCTAGATTTGCCGCCATGGGCCACGGCCCATGTGGCCACCCCCTTAATCCGGCCCTAGTCACAATGAATACACGCACAGTTCCTTTGGATTTTAATGCGTCCGACTATCTGTGTAGACTTTTTGTTAGGTAAGTAAAATACCACAAAAATCACATTGAGCATACGTTTCAAATCCACTCCTTAACGTCACGTACAATTTGCGTAAAGTCCGTATCGAGTAACTTTTAAATCATCGCCAAATCGGGCACTAACTTCAAGTCATCGCCGTATAATAAAAAAGAACTCACTTTAGCCACCAATTCCAAGAGAAAAAGCTACGCATGTCATGAATCAAAACTCTCAACTGAAAGTATACGGAAATTTGATTTGGAGTTGATGTAATTAGATCACTGAACTAAGAATGAATTACTTAATCTCGTCTGCAAATTCTATAGATGCATCCAAATTGCAACAAAATTTCCAATGTAAACAGTACTCTGATGTTTCCTCGCGTCATTTTGAAAGCGACAAACTTCGGAGCCGCCGCATCGCACAACCTCATCATCACGAAAAAATTTACTGTTACATACTGTGCTAAAAAATGAAATATCCAGTAACGCCTAAAACTTCATAGCGCATTTTGCGACATGGTCATTTGTCCTGTCGTACCTAGGAAAAGCGCCGTATGTACCTGCAGGCGTTGCCAAATTTCCCTTGATCAATCACGAGTTTCCGGGTCAACTTGTAAATGTTTTTCTTCAAATTTTTCAGATCATTTTTCTTGCAATTCCACGGAGAAATCTGGAAAATTTCAAGGGAAACTATTCATAAATTTCCTCAATAATGAACATGTTATCGAAGGAAATATGGCAACTCTCGAATGTTCATACGGCGTTCTTCCTTAGCACGGCAGCGTTGAGCACGGATAGTCTAATGGAAGTAGCGAATTTCCGTTGCAAGATCGTCGTGAACGCATAAAATTTCAGAACGCCTGCAATCACGCATGTATGCAATATGTGCATCCCTGGAGCACGAATAGTTGCATGGGCGCCGTGCCGCGTATTTCGAGAAACAGGAAGAGAAACCAAAATTCCTTCAATTTATCGTATATGCAAAGCGGACATCCATCAAGCACGAATAGTTGCACTCAGGTGCTATCATCAACGTCCCTCGCCAAAACTTCCCAGGACGCTGGGTTGATTGACTATCTCCTCTTCAAAGCAAAACGTCATATTTTTCTAACTTTTAATTATAACGGAAGCACTATAGCGTACTCCTGTTTCAGGGAAATCATATTCCTTACACTTGAAAGTTAATTGCATGGTTTCTAATGAACATCATGCAACGGTACTTGTGGTTATGAATATGACAGAGCAACAAAATGTTTAATTGGCTAAAGAATCGCAAAAGCTAAGAAAGGCTGAGTTAGATCCTCTCGAGGATAGTATTGAAATATGAAAATCATTCCAATTCTATTATCGGAAGCATTTTTTCTCCCCAGAAAATGAGTATGCCTCAAAGTTGTGCTTGTTCACAGTTGGCCCCAAGAAAGGTATAAAACTAGAATACCTTTATAAGGAGAGTATGGACAACTCGAAAATTTGGAGGTTAGGTTTGATTAGGTCATGTAGTTTTTTGGACCCAAAAGGGCAGCCAACCTATGAACTCAAATTATCCAGTGGGACTAATTTAAACTGCGAGAGTAGGTAAAATTATCAAAAATTATACGTATAAAACTTTGATTTTGCAAACAATTTCTCGATTTCAAAGTCTTAATCCTTAAAAACGCTTGTTTACAATGCGCTGTCAGCCCATTGATTAATATTTCAAATGCATAGGTTGGCAGCGGCAATTTTCTCGTGATTTTCGTTTTTCACGGTATCGCCCTTTCGGGCCCTAAGAGCTACATAAATCGAGTCGTCCATACTCTCCCTATAAAGGTACGCTTCTTTAAACTGATGAACCAATCAGAAAGTGGCACGGATACATCTCGTGAAAATCTACATAGAGGATCCATTTGACAATCCTGGCTGCGAAGTTGCCAGATTAGATACCCACGTTCGTTCTTTCCACCTTTCATGAAATGAAAAATCGACCTAACTGGCAACCGCAGTGTCCGGAGTACTGAGCGTCATCGTCACTTGCTACACCCTGCGTCAAGTGCATGCAATGGTGCCAGATCTGCTGATAAAAATCACATATTTCGCATTGAGTTCATGGAGAAAAGCAACAATTTACAGCTCGTGTGCTTTTAAAGCGACCTTGCCTCATCGGCGGAGGACACCACTATTGATTCAGCGCGCACATCGGAATGATGACGGTTTCCAGTCAAACTCGACAACGTAGGGCAAGACAGTAGTGCCTCTCACGAGCAAATAATTCAGGGTTTTTCGTCACCGCTCCCGGAGTCCAGAAAAGTTGTCAACTTTTACCGCTCGGCGTGACAACTGTTCAAAATTGTAACTCCCGTATCATTGCTGCCAATCCTATCGCTATTTGCCACGTTTTCCCCCTCCGAATGGAAGGATTGGAGCCACTCCTCCGATGACATTGTGGTTGTCATGGTGAGTAAATGGAAGGGATTCTCTTCCGAAAGTAATCCGACAAAACCAGGGGAGGACTGGCATCGAAAAAGTTAGGAGGCGATCATGATTTGGTGGCCCTCCAGGAGGGCATGGGATAGAGGATTTCTCCCCGAAGGAGAGGGGGATCGGGGGGTCCTTCCCTGGAAAATTTTCTGAAAAAAGGTACCCATATAACTCAATTTTTGGTTGCCTCATGAAAAAGAAACACCTTTTCTTCCTATTATTTTTAGGGTTTCGAGGGTGAAGGAGTCTCTCTATCATTCCTCCGATTATCTCCTTTTAGGTAAAAGAAAGAGGTTCCTTCCTTCTTTTTTTTTTTATCATTTTTTCCTTTCAAACCGTCAAAAAAACGAAGCGCACAAATTCCTCGCACCTAATACCAACATCATCAATAATTGTTCGAGAAAAAGTAAAAAACGAAAAAGTTATTGAAAAACTTTGGTATGTGACAGCCCCCTTTCTCCCCTTACCTACACGCACCGTGCAGGCCCCGTGTAAATCTTTGAATACTACTATGTCTCAGGGGCTCCTCCGTTGCTTTTCAGGCTTTAAGGACTCCGTTCACATCACTAAATGTGTTATTTGTGAGTCCAGGGACCAAATTCACAATTAGCGAGCCCTGCACATCACTCGTGGCGTTAGTAGGCTTAATATTCCACAGACATTGTTTCTCAATCGTTCCGGCCAGTTCGCAGTTCACCTTCAATATCTGGATAGGCAACGTGAGCGGCTTAGGGGCAGTAATAGTTGCCCGTCGCCCCTCGCCCACGATCACACTGTCTGTTCATAGCCGCAGCGGCCTAAAACTTCACTCACATTATTTTTCACTCGTTCCGACCAGTTCCGACCATCTCGAGATGACCAAAATGGCATTAGGTACCACTTTCCCGTTCGGTGCTGAAACAATCGCTCCTCGGGCGAAAGAACTACGTATCAACTTTGTTAAATTTCTACTCACGAATTGCAGTTTTACTAGGAATGATTTGGGCATTCTCAACTGAAAATTCCACCTATTTTTTCTGACTACAAGAAAAAAAATCAGCAACACTTTGATCAGAAAGTATGATTCGTGTAAAGAATAATTTAATATTTGGAACTAACTTTTTAACCTCAAAATAGACTTACGTTTCTTCTTCTGGGGAACAACGATGTCTAGAATGACACACTTATGAAAACCCTTTCGCTCGATTATTTTCCGATCGCTACAAGAAACATATCGTCGCGCACTTTATGCATGTGCAGTTAGTGGCGTCACCATAGAAATTTTCCGACAATCGAATCGGATCCAAATAACAATGTCTCCCTCAATACAACCAATGAGAATAAATCGATTTATATCGCTTTCCGGAACGTAGTAGCACCAACGGTGTCGACGCCGGCAACGGCGCGTTGTCGCTCATCCTCGATCCCCTCCATTGCGAGTCGCTCGCATTGTCATTCAACGGCGATGCCAACTCGCCGCGTCCTCCGTTATCACCGATAGTGATAAAGGGTCCCTTCCCGCCCCACCCGACCCCCCGCACAACACTAACGACTAACACACGCCCCCCTCTCTCACACACACGCGCCCCCATCTCCACATCCAACGAGGATGCTGCGATTTCTTGACGGCAGACGTGGCAACGCGCGTATTATGCATATCGGTCGGACGAACGCTACCGTTTTTTTTTTCTTCTTTTTTCCGTTCATACGTCGACGCTTGCGCGGTCGTGTCGTGTGTGTTGTGCGATGCGGTGACAAGCGACGTTTGTTATCAGTACCGTGGTCGTTTCATTCCAGTCAGTTTCCCCGCGCCCGGACGCGGTTCGTGTTACGTCACGGGAAAGCGATATATATCGGTTCGTTCTCGTTTGTGCCGTGGGAGGTTATGTGTGTGTTGATGTTTGGATCCGGATCAACATAACGGAAAATACCTATGGTGACGTCACGGTTGATAACGTTGATAACGACGGATTCGCGCGCGAGCCACGCGGCGAGCGAACCGATCCGAACCTAATTTCATCGCGGATTTGTCGTCGGTGGGTGTCGTTAAAAGTTGTTTCGTGTTTTGACTATTCTCGATTGTCATTTCGATCGGGTTGGAGCCACGGAGTTTTCCGAAAAAAAACCCGGATAACATGCTTTTGACTCCAGTTTCTACCGGTTTTTAGCTCCAAGTTTTTAAAAAGTTTTGATTTTATTCAATTTTTTTTTCTTACCATCTTTTCGACCTAGTTTGAGTTGTTGGGATGTTCAGAATAATATCCCGTAAGACCGTTTAATCTTCATCGGATTTAAAAGATCGAGCGATACCTGAAGTTTCATGTTCTTGGCATATTTTTACGGTTGTTTTAGTCGAATTTGAGCCTCGCAGTTTTCAAATTTTTGTGTCTTGACCGGTAATTTAATTATTTTGTTTCAGTATTTTGAACTTCGAAGCTTTCCTAAGTTTTGTGTTGCAACCTTTTATCGACTCCCATCGTGAAAGCACGAGAATTCTGTGAAGATTCGTGTTTTAATTGTTTTGGATTATATTTTTACAAATTGCGAGGTCCCGAGATTTCTGAAGATTTGCATTTAGATCGTTTATTGACCGTTTTCTTGGTCGCTTTTTGCTCCGAAATTGTCTGAATTCATTTCAACTTTATGACAGATTATTGAGTTGACCGATACAGATACCTACAGTACTTGTGAATCTCCCGCCTTTTTTTGAATGTGCGTCTACACTAAAAATTAACAGGTTGCCAAGTTATTCAAAGTTCCCAAATCGTCTGGTAAGAATACTTGCCGCAACGAAGTGTAATCACGATGGTCATCAGTGATGATCGAGGCTTGTGATAAAGAGAGTCAATAAAAAAAAAATATATTAAAAAAAAAGTCCGACAGAACCGTTCCATTAAGTTTTTCGAGAGTACTTAATTCCATCGCAGAAAAAGAAAATTCCAATTCGTCTGCTCTCTTTTGCCGCAGAGTGATGTTAGCCTGAAATGCATGATACAGATTCAGTCTCAAAACGGTTCAGTCCTGTTACAACCCTCTCCTAAAAATGCCCCACACATTTTTTGACCTTGCGCCATTTTCTGTTTGCTTTTTTTAGCGTCTCAGAGGAAATCAGCTCTTATAAAACATACTTCTGCTGGGCACGCTCTTGATCCATCTCACTTTTTTCCACGAAAGAGCTCACCGATATTTTCGCAACGAGGATGAAATTTCACTCGTTCGTAAGCTCGTTATTTGTGTTGTGAAGTGCGAGAGTGACTTTCGCGAGAACTGTCGGAATAGTTCCTGTGACCGTATACACGATGCGTTTCGTAACTTCTGTTGTTTGGTGTTGACGAAAAATCGCAATTTGGCACGGCTCGGAAATAGAACTTTGGATCTTGAATGGAGGAGAAAGTATCCGAGCGCGAAAGTTTTGGGTCCGTCGTCAGCGCCGGCGAGATGCCGACAGACAATGATCGGTAAGTAGTGCAAAATTCAGATTCAGGTTCAAAAAGAGTCTATGGAGGCACAATATTTTAGAGACCCATCACTTCCATCTTCCGCGTGGTGTAAAAGTTTGTTCCGGAAGTCAACACTCAGATTCGCCTGATGGTGACTAATAACCAAAACAGCAAATGGTCAGCAATTCAAATCAAAGGAAAAACTCGCCTAGCAGAGTGCTCACCGCGGCATTCATTCGTCATTAGGCGAAATTCATTTCTACTTTTTTGGCCAACAAGTTGCCTACTAATCATCACTAAGCGAAAAGCAGCATTGAATTCCAAACTTAACTTTTGACCCACTAGTTTATATTGCTTCTTAGACCGTTGGTGTAGGGTCTCTAAAATGTAACAAGGAGTGCGCCATAAGAGGGCGTTTCGCGGGCCCCCGTGAGTTAATCTAAATACAGTAGACTCTGGATTATCCGGATTATTTGGTGCCGGGCCCGATCCGGATGAAAAAGAAATCCGGATAATAATAGTAAACACAAACACCATTAACCAACACCACAATATTCTTATTATGTATACATCATGTACATACCAACACGAATTTAAAAGGTTAACGCCAAACTGAACGACTCAATGGTGATTGTGAATGGTAGCTGACAACGATAAATTACAATACAATGATTAAAGAGCGCAATGCGTGAAGTATTCATGCAGTCTTGTAGCCGCTAATGTGCGTTTTAGGCTAACTAACCGACGGCACTGCGTTTGGCGTAATGCGAGAAGTATTTATGAAATCTAGTAGGCGCTAATGCATTCCACGCCGACCTCACTGCTTGGCGCAACGCGTGAAGTATTCCTGCAGCCTTGCAGGCGCCAATATGCCTTGCGACCTCTTCTCCGCGGATCCGCTCACTTATCGGAATGCGTACGTAGCTACATGGTTGCAAAATTGATCCGGATAATCCAGAGTCCGGATAATACGAAGCCGGTTAATCCAGAGTCTATTGTAGAGCGGGCTCATGTAAAGACGAGCAAACCTCGAGTTAGGTTAGGATATCGGCTAGACAAAAGTAAGTTATTACCCGTGAGAAAGAGAGGGCATTTATTTGTGATGTCACAAACTAGCCGTTTTTCTTTCTGTCGGAGTAGAGTTTATTGGTACTCATTACCAATTATGATAGTTTAAGAGTAAAATCTTGAAAAATTATTAGACAGAATCTCTAAAACTTGCCTGCAATTGAATGGCTTTCCAGCTCTGAAACCATCTGTACGGTGATATTTTAATCGTGTGAAATGGAGGGATTCCTCGTTCATGCGAAAGCCCATTTGTGGTTTTTTCTGGAGAATGCGGTTTTGAAGCCGAGGCGATATTACTAATTTGTGGATTAATCGCTTTTCATTTTAGATGAACAAAGATAGCAAAAGCAAAGATTCGGAAGGAGCTTTCCGGGAATGCGGTGACCGGGTCTCTCGTAATTTTGGCGCGCAAAGACGGGCGTCAGTAGCCGCAAAAGGAACGTTGGTGCCCGGGGCTATTTCCAGAGCTTTGGAGCTCACCCTCACCCACTCCGTAAATATTCGGTAGGATAGCAGCATCCGTGCAAAAGGGAAATTAGAACCCTTTGAGATCGGACTATAAGATTGTTTTTCCACGAAATCGTGAGCTTAGTTTCTGAAAGAGACATTTTCGGCGATTTCAATTCCAGAAATCTGTTTAATTGTCCAATTGGAATGAAAAGTCGGAAAAATTTAATTTAAAACGTAAATTTCGTAACGAAAATTAATGAAGTACTTTGCTGTCCTGGAGACCAAGAATTGAAAGGCGAACACAATTTGATCTTCTTCTGTCAATTTAAAAGTGCCTATGAAGGATTTGGTACCTCCACTTTGTACCTAAACAATTTCTTGGCAATATCAGTACCCCGAAAACTTGGCAGCTGGAGTCGAAATACGTGGCTCCGGCAGCCGAAATTCGAAAAAACTGCCGAAAGCGCCGTATTGTGCTACAGAGTGTTCGTGAGTTTTGCCGCATTCCGGTATTTAGAACTGAAACTCTGGGCTCCAAGCTGCCGATGCGAATATTGCCGAAAAATTGTTTACCATGATGCTACAAAAAAAATTGTTTAAATACGTTTTGAGAGCATGTGCATGTCTTCTCAGTTGCGTACCGCATCCTTGCGGTTCCTCTTAGCTTTCTTCAGTTCTTATCCTATATTTAGTATTTGTTGCCGCTCAGGATGCAAAATTTTATGGGATTGGGAATTGGGAATTTGTTGAAAGTTTTAATTGTTCTGCATAAAATTTTGATGACGTGACGGGTTTCGTGTAATTTATTTCCCATCGTGTCGAATGGCTCATTATTAATTCTTCAAAGAAGGATGATAGGCTATCTGCAACGTCGCAAACCGAGGTACAGGTTTTTTAAGCTTCGCCGTAGATTGGTAACTTTGTGAATTAAATACAAATAAAGTTATCTTCGTCTGGGTTTTTCAAGCTAAACCGGCAATAAGCGGCGCTGATATAACGGTCAAAGTGATAATTATTGTGTCTGAATGTCTGGCCAAAATTATGTTATCAGCCGCGCCGCCGTGGAATTCCGTCGCGTCAGCCAGTTTCGCGAAAATTGAACTTTGCCGTGTTTTTCCCGTCCGAACTCTGAACTTTCGTCGTAGCTTTAATCATCTCAATTTCCTGTCTGTCAGCATAAAAAAAGTGTATTAATTATGGACTCTGGAGATGAAGAAGAACCATGATGGAGGAACTTATCTTGCCATATACTCTGCTGTACTAGGGAAAAACGCCGTATGAACATTTGAGAGTTGCCAAATTTCCCTTTATAAGACATGTATTTTTGACCATATTTATACACATTTTTCTTTTAAATGTTCAGATATTTTAGATTAAATTGCGTGCAAAATAGTCAGAAAATTTTGAGGGAAATATTCACAATTTTCCCAGTAAATTCGGTTTGTATCTAAGGAAACTTGGCAACGTCTGAAGGCTCATACGGCGTTCATCCTTAGCACGGCAGTGCTCTCTTCTCCTTTTTGATTTTAACCCGCCGATCTCATAGCATATTTAAGAATATTCTGCGAGGAAAATTAATCCCTGGATTTGGTGAACCTAAGAATTAGAATGCAAAACCATCAACTCGAAAATCTCTGGTTGATTCCAAGTTTTGCCAGCGTTTTCATTATTTTTCGTTAAAAAATAACGTAAAATGCCCCAAAATCAACCTAAACTTTGGATAACTTTGCATTTCTTTTCCCATACTGACTGAGAATATCCCAAGAACTCAAGTATTTTTCTGAGTGTACTGGTACTCCGCTACGTGAGGAAATACCTAGTCATGGCAATTTCAAGGAAATTTTAAATCAAAGGATCGTGCTGTGAGAGCGTTTTTTTTTCTTCGAATGAAATGGAACTTCCATGAATATTTCCCGCAAAAAAGTCTCTTTCAATGAAACCGAACGTTTCTTAATTTCCTTTCATCATTCTTGAAACAACTAAGTAGAATGATTTTCCGAGGAACATTCAATTGAAGATCTTTCTGATTACGACAAGAATTCTCATAAATGCAAGAGACATTCAAAGATCCTACTTTCAGGCCTCAGTCTAACTCAACTTCCTCATTAGTTTTCAGTTAAAACTTAGAACAATCTCAGTAAAAAAGAAAAAAAAAACCTAAAACTGAAAAATTTAGAAGAAAAACGGATCAGGAAAATCCAGGGAAAGTGAACGGAATTGATCAAAATGACCTCCAAAGTCAGAAAAATTATGATCATGGCAATGACGAACTTTTGTGTCACTTCACATGATATCACATTGTCGCCCATCCGAATGGAAATATATTAAGTGTCATCTAATCATCCAATTTGGTCCCTAAGTTCTGGGAATTTCCCTATAAATTGGTCACGGTAAATTTGAAAAAGTCAGAGGATTCCAATTTTAACATGTGAGCGCCCTTAAACCCACAGTGAGTCCTTACAACCTGTGATTATGGGGGGATTGCAGAGCTTTCTTAAGCGGGGCTTTTCTGTCATAAATTGACCCCTCCTTATCTTCTCAACCCACTTCCGGAACTTACCATCAGCCGCGGTCTGGCACCAGCGCTGTACCGGCCACGCATGCGCGGTGTGCGTGATGCGCTCCTGAGGAATAGCGATAAGAACCGATCGGCGTTGCCTGGTCGTCGGATAAAACTCGAATTTTGCACCGAGAGAATTCCTTGGCCTACATGTGTGTAAAATGACCTAAATATGGCTGTCTGTAGCTTTTTAGTGTACAAAAATTGCACCGCTTTCTGACTGATTTTTGATGAGTTTTAATTAATGAGTTTTAAGCCTCGAGATCACGATGAAGAATGCACACGAACAAGACATCTAGGGTATCATCTTCACAGCCATTTTATATTTTAAAGGATATTTTTTGTCAACAATCATACATTTCTGAACCCCTAACACATTTTTTACGTAAAAGATGTACATGACTGAGAGTTCTTCCATAAAAATGAGTAATTTGACGCAAAAAGTAGCCAAATACGTGCTTTACAAACGACGGACCTTATCAATGAATAATTAATGATAATTTGATGTCAGAGGTTAGCTATACCCTTCTGGGCCCTAAAAGCTCCATGACCTAACCTCAAAATTACCGACATGTCCGTGTTCTCCCCAAGTAGGTATTCTAATCGAGAGAAAAGGAAGCTCAAATACTTGATAACCTCATGGTAGCTCGTGTTGCATATCCAAAAAAATTTAAGGCGAACTGGCAATGCGTTAGTATCGCCTCTTCAAGTTCGATGAAATGTTATTCATTGTGTGATCCGAATAAGTGTCACATTTTACGGCGATACCGCTATTCGACCACGTGGGAACTCGTCTTGCCTATACTAAAAATTGAAGGCGAACTGACATGGTGTTGTTGAAGTCACCTGTAAGCAGGGCCGGGTTTATCTCCTTGCCGCCCATGGGCCGCCTGTATTTTGCGCGCCCCCTTCTCATTTGTTTTGAAACATCAATAAAAAC